CACTTAGTTTTTTTCCATATCATGGCTATTGTAAGTAATGGTACAATGAATATCGGGGTGCCTATTATCTTTTCAAATTAGAGTTTTTGTTTCCTTTGATGAGTACCCAGAAGTACAATTCATGGATCCTATGGTATTTCTATTTTTAATTTTTTGAGGGACCTCCATACTGCCTTCCACAGTGGCTGCACCAATTTACATTCCCACTAACAGTGCATGAGGGTTTACTTTTCTCCATATCTTCACCAACACTTGTTATTTCTTATCTTTTAGATAATATCCATTCTGACAGGTGTGAGGTAATACCTCACTCTGGTTTTGATTTGTGTTTACCTGATGGTTAGTGACGTAGGGCATCTTTTCACATACCATCTGCTTGTCTTTAAAAAAATGTCTATTCATGGCACACCTTGGGTGTCTCAGTCGAGTAAGTGTCCGAGTCTAGGTTTTGGCTCAGATCATGATCTCACGGTTTCATGGGTTCCCCACATAAGGCTCTGCACTCAGTCCCCCAGTGCAAAATAAAATAAAATAAAATAAGTAAAATTAAATTAAGAATAAATAAATAAATAAAATGTCTATTCAGATTTTTCTGCCCATTTTTAACTGGATTTTTTTTTCCTGTGGTTTTTTTCCCCCACAGAGTCTTATGAGTTTTTTTTAATATATTTTTGTCATTAGCCCCTTATCAGATCATTTGCAAGTATTTTCTCCAATTCAGTAGATTGACTTCATTTTGCTGATGATTTCCTTTGCTGTGCTAAAGTTCTCCCCATTGTATATTTTTGGCACCTGTGTCATATATTAATTGACCATATATGTGTGGGTTTATTTCTGGGCTCTCTGTTCTGTTCCATTGGTCTATGTACCTGTTTTTATACCAATACCGTACTGTTTTAATTACTACAGGTTTGTAACAGAGTTTGAAATCAGGGAGTGTGATGCCTCCAGCTTTGTTCTTTCTCAAGATTGCTTTGGCTATTTGGATCTTTTATGGTTCCATACAAATTGTGGAATTGTCTGTTCTTTTTTTGTGGAAACCGTCATTGGTATTTTGATAGGGATTGCACTGAACCTATAAGTTGTCTTGGGTAGTATGTATATTTTAACAATATTAATTCTTCTAAGAGAGATTTCATTATACTTAAAGTAGTTCTGGCAAATCGTGTCTATAGAGACCAACAAGTATATGTATAATTAAATCATGCTGAGTGGTTGGTACTGTGTTGAACTAAAGAGTACATAGCCTCTGAAGTGGGTGGTCCCGCCTCAGCTCTTTCCAACTGTAGGTCTGTGAGAATCTGTTATTGTGGGAAATAAGAAGATGCAAACTAGGATAGCATATTAGAATTCCAAGCAGTATTGAGGACCACTTACGATTTGTTGTATATATTAAAGCTTTGTGATTTTTTTTTTCTCCTCTAGGACTCTTCTTAGATAAGTGTATGGAGGACAATTGATTTTTTTCCTAAATGTACAGTAGAAGGTGAATGTAGTAACGAAGTTTTAAGTTATGTTCTAGAAGGTGGTTAAAAAACATGGACCAAGGACTGAACTATTATAAGAGAAGGCACCTGAAAGAGGGAGGGGACAGACTGATAGGGGAAGGTACCAAGAAATAGAAAAAGATCTATGTATTATAGGAGACAGTGGTCAGAATATTTAACGTCAGTTGTAATAGTTCTAAGTGATAAGGACAGAGGAATGCTTGCCTGAAAAAGTGAGAAGGGAGGAATTGGGTATGAAGAATTAAGAAACTGAGAGGCCAATATGTTGGATGAGGGAAGTGGAGGGGGTGGAGGAGCCCATGAGGGAGAGTGCTTGTGCACTAGTGTCTACTCTTATGAGAGTACTAATCCCATCATGAGGGCTCACCCTCATGACTTCATCTAAACTCATGTCCCAAAGGCCTCCTCTTCAAATAATATCACATTGGAAGTTAGGTCTTCAACATATGAATCTTGGGGGTAGAGATACAACTCAATTCATGGCACCCAGAAATATATTGAGTTTACTTTGAGAGGATGATGGGCCCTTATTGCTCAGGTGGGTTTATTGATAGCAGATATTTTTGTTCTAATTGTGTTTTATAAGCCTACTTTTAGACACTAAATAGTACTGAATTAGCACTTCACATTTTAGCGTATTTGATATTTTAAACATACATGCACCAATATTCATTATAGTTTTGCATGATCAGTATAACACATTATAGAAATTTCTATATTGTAGAAAAAGTCTGAGCTTTGACTTCTTTGGAGATAGGGTTTGGTATTAACAGCCTGAATGCTCTTCGGCAGACTAATTGCACAAAGCTTCTCTTTCTTAACCTGTAAGATGGGTACATACAGTAATTTCACACAGGATTCTTAAGAGGATTAAACACATAACTGTTTCAGGTAGCACAGTGGCTGCAGCTTTATAGGTGGTCAGTAAATGACAGTTAGCATTATTATGCAGAAAAAGTATAATTTTTGTGCTGCTGTATTTAACAATAGCAAAAAATATGTGGTTTTCAGTCTGATTAACAAATATGCTGTTTTATGTAAATTAATCTATCCTAAACTATAAGTACCAATGGAATAACTTCAATGTACTATGTCATTTGCAACTTAGAAAAAGTAAAAAACTAGAGCGGTGTAGGGGCACCTGGGTGGTTCAGTTAGTTGATTATCTGACTTTTGATCTCCTCTCAGGTCATGATCTCACGGTTTGTGAGATTGAGCCCTGCATTGGACTCTGCACTGACAATGTGGAGCCTGCTTGGTATTCTTTCTCTCCCTCTCTCTCTGCCCCTCCCCCACTCACCTGTTCTCATTCTCTATCTCTCAAAATAAATAAATAAACATTTAGAAAAAAACTAGAGAGATGCAGAAAGAATGCCTGTTTTTTGCTACCTCTCTATCAAAAGCTATGTATTTTCTGTGAAAAGAAAAAAAAAAAAGAAACCACCCTAGTTTAAAACATTGTGTAATTTGAATTGAGACACATTTTCTCTTTGTGGAGTAATGTTTGCTTCTTTTATTTATATACGAACAAAATATCATGGAGTAAAATTTGTAATATAAAATATTAATGTGAACCAGATAAGAAATCCTTAACCCTAAAATTACATAGGGGAAAACTCTTGTTAATGTTTTTAGCATATATACATCAATATTTGCACGCTATCAAAACAAGTTAAAGAATGCTGAAGAGTAGAAAGGAACAAAAATGATCCGGCCAGTTTAATTACATTTTTCTTAATATTTAAGATACAGTTGGGATCACATACAACACACTGATTTGTAATTTGACTTTTTTCACATAATATACAGATGTACAGCAACTGATTTTAGGGGGTGTACTGGGATGGGGGCAGGAAGAGCTTGAGGAGGAGAATCCTGTAGATGTAATTTCATAATTTCAAATCATGTTGCCATTAAGATAAATGTGGAATGCTGTGGATTGTTGACATCTGAACAGAAAATAAGTAGAGAAACCTAAATCATTTGGCAGTGGTTTCTGGCAGAGTCATAATTTTTCTGTAGGAGACCGACGACTGAGAAAGAATGAGTGCATTAAAAACTGATCAGCACCCATCTATGCCGTTTTGCTTTATCCTTCTTAGCACTTTCAAGATTTGGTTCCTTTTGATTGAACGGCTGTGTCAATGATGACTGGATGCCTGCAGGTTGGATTATTTAGGTCATTATTTCCTGCCTTATTTTCTGGATACACGTTAGCACCCACGTGTGCCTGGCCTTAACTTATTTTGCGTCTGAGGAGAGGCTCTGTCTTTGAGGCTCTTCTTGATGTCTAGATAGGCAATAAAGTCACTTGGATCTCAAGGATGGAATCTATTTTTCAGGTCTGATGTTTAAAATGCATCATTTCCATGAAAGGCTAAGAGCATGCTGCATTTTGTTTTGTAACTTGGCACATGAAAATGTTTATCCCAGAAAAGTCTTTTAAATATGAATTCTCTTTAAGGCATTAAAATTAAAACATTACAAAAATCAGCTTTTGACCATTTTCTCCAGTAACACTTTTTCTAAAAAAAAAAATTTTAATGTTTGTTTATTTTTGAGAGAGACAGAGACAGAATCCGAGTGGGTTAGGGGCAGAGAGAGAGGGAGACACAGAATCCTAAGCAGGCTCCAGGCTCCAAGCTATCAGCACAGAGTTCGATACTGGGCTTGAACCCACGAGCTGTGGGATCATGACCTGAGCTGAAGTTGGACGCTCAACTGACTGAGCGACCCAGGTGCCCCTTTCCAGTAACACTTTTTAAAGAAATGTCCCATGGCTAAAATTTGAAAACAAAGAACTATATAAGGAAAAGAAAGAAAGAAAGAAAGAAAGAAAGAAAGAAAGAAAGAAAGAAAGAAAGAAAGAAGAAAAGAAAAGAAACCCTCAAAGTAGAAACATACTGGGGCTTTGTTTTGCTTTTATTTATGTACTCTACCCCCCTCAGTACATCTTAAGTATTGAATGTTCACAAGAAAAGATGAAGTACAGTGTGTAGCTTGTGGGATGTTACCAAGGAAGACCCCTTCCTGACCCCTTATATAAACCTGACCCCTTACTATATATATATAAAGATACATATAAACCTGACCCCTTACTATATGTTTTCCTATGGTGTGTAGTCTTACCTGTGGATCCATCATTTTCTTGTTTAGGGATCTTGGGGATATTATTTTCTTGAATGCAAAATGAAGACAATAATATCGGGGCACCTGGGTGGCTCAGTCGTTAAGCGTCCAACTTGGGCTCAGGTCATGATCTCACGGTTTGTGAATTCAAGCCCCGCATCAGGCTCTGTGCTGATAGCTTGGAGCCTGGAGCCTGCTCCGGATTCTGTGTCTCCCTCTCTCTCTGCCCCTCCCCTACTCATGCTCTGTCCCTCTCTGTCTCTCAAAAATAAATAAATGTTAAATTATTTTTTTCAAAATGAAGATAATAATATGAAGCTTGTATGCATCACTGAGTAGTATAAAAGCAAAAATCTTTAGTGATACCAGCAGATTTTTATGTAGGTTTTCTCGTATGCCCCCTTTTCCCATGGCCCCAAGATTTTGAATTCACACTGCGTATTGGGTTTGGAGAGCAGGCCGCATTGGATTTCCTTAGTCTCCTTAGCAGATCACCAGAAAGATTCTGAGAATCAATAAATAAAGTTGGTTTTGTTACATTGTTATTTTTGGAATTGGTCCTTTCCACAGTTTGAATCCAATGGCATTTTTTCTTTTTCAGTCTTGTATTTTGTGAGATATAACATCATGTATGGTTTCTGTGTTAGGAAGAAATTAAGTTATCATCAGATTCCAACCCAGTGTAAGAAAGAAGCTTCTGAAAAAGAATCAGATTGATTATTCAATAGTGATGTTTTGTTGCTGAACCTATTTGGAGAAAGGCTGAGTAGCTATGGGTCAGGGCTACTATAGAAGAATGTATTGGATAAGAGGATTTCTATTTCCATGGATTTCCAACCATGATAATAATTGAAATTTCAATGGGGTGATCAGCTTCCATTGATTTTTTTTTTCAATAGTTGTAAAATAAGGGAACCCAATAATTATTTGCTAAGTTCTTTAAAGCTAGAGATTTCTACATTTAATCATGCAGTCCATCATTTAAAACACTTTTCTAACTTTATTCTTTTTTTTATTTTTATTTTATTTTTTATTTTTAAAAAAAAATTTTTTTTCAACGTTTATTTATTTTTGGGACAGAGAGAGACAGAGCATGAACGGGGGAGGGGCAGAGAAAGAGAGGGAGACACAGAATCGGAAACAGGCTCCAGGCTCTGAGCCATCAGCCCAGAGCCCGATGCGGGGCTCGAACTCACGGATCGCGAGATCGTGACCTGGCTGAAGTCAGACGCTTAACCGACTGCGCCACCCAAGCGCCCCTCTAACTTTATTCTTATGTGCCAGCTACTGTGCTAGATTCCTTCAAAGTATCCTAATATCAGAGAAGCAATGATTCACAAGCTTAGCCTATCTGTTTCAAGTGGAATTTCTTTGAAGTCTCAAATTCACTTGAATCTGACCTTCTACTCCATAAACTTTGTTTTAAAGTAAAACTAATGTATTTTAATTACAGTGAGGCAATACCAATCTTCCAGATTTATGGAATATTAATCTTGTGACTTTGTTTACTCCTTGGCTTGATGTTATACTTCCCTAAGTATACATGTGCCTCTATTAGAGCACTGTCACGGTGGACTGTGGGGAGTCCCTCAAGGTTTTCAAACAGAATACAGTAAATTAAAAGGAGGTAAGGAACATGATAAACTTTACACTTATGAAACCTCACAGTTTTTGGGCAAGATGGAATGAAGAAGGGTGAAAATAGTGGTATGGAACTATCTTAGGAAATGTTAAAATAGTCTAGATGAAAGATGATGAGGACCCAAATGTAGGAGATATCAGTGAAATTGGAGAAGACTGAATTGGAGTGATGTTTCATGTATAGAATGTTGGCTGATTGGATGTGAACATTTCAGGAAGAAGGAATAATGAGGATCATGTGCAGACTTCAACAGATTGACTAGATGGTGCTACTTTTCACCAAGACAAGGACATATGGGACAAATTTTGTGATTGGAGGAAAAGACTAAGAATTCCACTTTGGATTTTTGAGGTTGAGTTGTTTGGGGACGATTATAGGGGAAATACACTATGGCAAGTTGGATATGCCATTTGGAAATAAGGATAAATCCCAGGATATAGAAATGTATTAGGATGTTGTAAGAATGGATGATTGTTAGTGCCATTAGGTCAGACCTTTGAGAGCACTGATAGTTAAGTGGAATCAGAAAATGAAAAGCCAACAAAAGAGACTGAGAAGAACCCAAATATGAACCTAAAGTCTCCATTCCAAAGGTAAGTCTTTTCTACCCAGGAGGTAGATAATAGAGATCGAAACTAGAATCATTATATAGGGAATGGAAAAGAAAGGACTGACTTGCCAAATATTTTAAAAGAACAGTTCTGTGTTGTTAAAGACCAAATTGCACAATATAAGGCAGGCATTTCTAGAATTGTCCAGTTTAGCTGACCAGAGTTTAAAGTTCATCTTGGGGTTACAGCTTCCACGGTTATACGCTCCATCCCAGAAACAGATTAAGGATTTCATAGGTTTGGCAAAATGAACTTCAATCCTTGGCCAAATGACAAGATACTACAAGCCTCCCTAGGTTATCCCTAATTCTCCAAAGAATATCTCTGCAATTTGTTTCCACAAGGTCATTCTTTTTTTTTTTTAAGCTTATTTATTTATTTTGAGGGGGAGAGAGAGAGAGAGAGAGAGAGAGAGAGAGCCAGCCAGCAAGAACAAGTGGGGGAGGGGCAGAGAGAAGGAGAGACAGAATCCCAAGCAGGCTCCACACCATCAGCACAGAGCCCAATAGGGGTTTGAACTCATGAACCATGAGATCATGACTTGAGCCGAGATCAAAACTTGAAAGCTTTACCAACTGTGCCATCAAGGTGCCCCTCCATAAGGTCATTCTTACATGGAACCATAATTGTATTGTAGAGTTAGTTACCTGTTATTTATGACTTCAGTTTGGGCTTTTCTGATTTCACACCATCTTGAATTTGAAGTAGGGGTACCTAGAAGTAAATATCAACAGATACAATCAATTTTGACAAAATGAATTTTCCTACATTAATGAAAACTAGTACTAGACAGTTATATTAGTATTACTAGAAAAGCATTTCATGACAAACATTATAAACCTACATCTGGGGGCGCCTGAGTGGCTCAGTTGATTAAGCGAGTGACTTTAGCTCAGGTCATGATCTCGCAGTTTGTGAGTCTGAGCCCTACATCGGGCTCTGTGCTGACAGCTCAGAGCCTGGAGCTGCTTCCGATTCTGTGTCTCCCTCTCTCTCTGCCCCTCCCCTGCTCACGTTCTGTCTTTCTCTGTCACTCAATAACAAATAAACGTTAAAAAAAAATTTAAACCTACATCTGCATGTTGAATATAGTTATATTAGTAAACAATTCATTTTCTTTTTTTTTTTAATGTTCATTTTGAGAGAGAGAGCATGAGTAGGGGAGAGGCAAAAAGAGAGGGAGACAGAATCCCCAGCAGGCTCCCTGCTGCCAGTGCAGAGCCCTACAGGAGGCTCAAACGCACACACCATGAGATCATGACCTGAGCCGAAATCAAGACTTGGATGCTTAACTGACTGAGCCACCCAGGTGCCCCGAAACATTTTCTTTTCTTTTTTCTTTTTTCTTTTCTTTCTTTCTTTCTTTCTTTCTTTCTTTCTTTCTTTCTTTCTTCTTCCTTTTGTTTATTTATTTTGAGAGAGAGAGAGAGAGAGAGAGCATGTGCCTGAGCAGGGGAGGGATGGAGAGAGGGGGGAGAGAGAATCCCAAGCAGGCTCCACACTGTCAGTGCAGAGCCTGATGTGGGGCTTGATCTCACAAACTGGTGATATTACGACCTGAGCCAAAATTAAGAGTCGGATGCTCAACTGACTGAGCCACCCAGGCACCCATGAATATGTTTGTGATTTATTGGTTGGTGCCGTATTAATGGATAACTCTTCTTGGAAAGTTGAGGATGCTGATTTTATTTATAATTTATAATAATATACCTAATCATATAAGCAAATGACTAAGGTATGTTTTATAAAGACATATCTATATTTTAAAATATGCCATAAACTTAGCAAAAGTGTTATTGTTTTTATATTGTGATATGATATCACATGGAAGATGATATTAGATGGAACAAGAGATATTTATCTATAAATGAAATTATAGTTCCATAAGGAGATTAATTTTATGAATATAGTGTTTCCATTTCCAGGTTTTCATTGTTCATTTTTGCACCTGGCAAGCTAACCTTCAGGCCTGGCCAAAGTGTCACTTGTCTACTTATCATAAATTACCTTGATTGCTGAATGAGAAAAATTTATTATATGTCCCCAATTTTAGGGGGTGAAAGAACTGATTTCCTTTTAATTCATATTTTGTCCCTCAAATGATATGTTAATAAATGAGAAAAATCAATCATAAAATACAAACTGCAGTTATTCCTGCTCAAAACTAAATAAAGCAGGATAGAGAAAATTTAAATTATTTCTTTAACTGTTCGTTGATTATTGCTATATATACTATTTTACTGAATCAAAATAACCCTCATAAAAGTTGTAAAACATTTATGGAATCCATTTCAGAGGTGATAAACATTCCTTTTATAACTATTAGAAGAATTTCTAACTTCCTAAAAATACTCTAATGGTATCAGTTGGTTAATTTTCAGAGAGGTAGCAACATAAAAATATCAATAAAATTCCATAGTAAAAATGGTGTGCTGATGGCATTCAATTGTTCTTTTCTTTTGGTAAACACCACATATGGAAATTTAACTCAATACATCTCTTTATTTACGAGTGATATTTGTTTTCTAAACATTTTTTAAACCTATGAAATAAACTCTAGGATTTCTTTGCAGATTCCTTTTTAGGAATATGATTAAAGCTGTTGCTGCAACTTTTAAACAATTTGTATCTCATATAAAGCAAGGCATTATATTAAATATTTGCAGACTATAGAAGAATTTTTGCATTTTGCTTTTGGGTAAATTCATTATTTAAAAAAATGTTATTTTACATGAATGCATTCCCATTGTAAAAGATTCAGATACTCCTAAGTTCTAGAGAGCAAAATATGATTGTTTACCTTCCCACCCTCACCCCCTTACATCCATTCCCCACTGAGGTAAAATCTTTTAGTAGGTTAGTATGAATCATTACAACATAAATTCTATCTATTTACAAATGTACACACCTTGATGATAATAAAAAGGTGAGATTGTAATATATATTCTTTTAGTTGTATTGGAAGAGATTAGCATTGTTGGAATTAAAGAGTTTTGATTTGTACAGTTCAAAGCACTATAATTTGGACAATCTATCCAAGTAGCACTGCTGCTTAATATGCATCTCCCCCAGTTAACTCTAGCATATTCTTGGCATAGCATCTATGAGGAATGGGAAACCTGTCCATTAGACAGTAAAATAATTGTATGAAAGTCAGTTCATTCATCAACAAGCCAGAAATGTAGCTTAAAAAAAAATAGGCATCCTTTTTCTTTTATAAATGCATGTCAAATTTGCTCACATTCTTTCTGTATGTTTGTGATCATTACTAGTTTGGCCTCATATTTGCATTTCTCATATTAGCCATACAGTAAATGTTTGTTTAGAAAATACTTTATGTTTTTCTTTAATGGATTCTGACCTTTCTTTTATATCTTATCTTCCCTCTTCTTTGACCTTCTGTGCTTTTCCTATGTTCTGTCTTTGACCCTAACATGTAGAACATGTTTCATGGTGATGTGTTGAGTACAGAATTTCTCACCCTTGGCAGTTTTGACATGTAAGGCCAGATCATTCTTTGTTGTCCAGCAGGAGGAAGAGGGTGTTCTGTGCATCGTGGGATGGATGTTTAACAGCATCCCTGGCATCTACCTACTGGATGCCAGCACTATACCTCCAATTGTGATAACTAAAAATATCTTCAGATGTTGCTCAATGTCCTCTGGTTGTGGGAGTTGGGAGGAAGCATCTTTGGTTGATACAAATGCCCCCTAGGAAGATAAAACCATCCCCAGTTGTTGCCAAATGTCCTGAGAGTGTAAAATCACCCTCACGAGAACCATGGTTTAATAGCATTTCAAAACTCATGACATTTTTTCTGACATATATTTTGCAGGGATAGGTAGCTTACACTAAACCCATCCATAACATATTTTGAGGTCATTAAAATTGTGATAAAATACAACACTGTTAAACCTTCACTCCATATATGTATAATTGACTTTAACTTCCTTGATAGTAGATACATGTGTGACAGTTATATAGAAGGAAAAATGAAAATATTTGCTGATGTAAGGCCTCTCCAACTTGAAAGAAATGTCCTCACTTATCTATATGATTATCTGTGACCTGAAATCAGACCTTTCTTATGTCTTGACAAAAAATTTCATTTACCACTTTACTTCTTTATACTTAAAAAAAAATGCATTTGGACTACTGCAGTGCATCATATAAACACGTTTTTGGAGGTATTAAACTAAACAAAACAACCTTCCAGAATAGCTCTGGCATCATTAGGTCTAAATATATATGGATTTTTTCCATACAAAATCCCTCAACATTTATCTTCAAATATGTGAAAATAATATTCAGTTTAAATGGAAAAAATATAAACTTAGATTTTGTTTTAAATAAAATTTGCAGGGATGCCTGGGTGGCTCAGTTAGTTGAGTGTCTGGCTCTTGATTTTGGCTTAGGTCATGAGCTCACGGTTCCTGGGATTGAGCCCCACATTGAGCTTTGCGCTCCTGCCAGGAGCGTTTTTGGGTTCTCTCTCTCCCTCTCTCTCTCTCTCTGTCCCTGCCCTGTGTGCTTGTGTGCACTCTCTCTTGCTCAAAATAAATAAATAAACATAATAAAAAATTTTTCCTGTGTACTAATTAGGAGATGTTTTCAGATGTGTTTATCTTTGAAAGTTAACATTTTGGCACATCTCCCAAAAAAGGGCCAAGAACAAAAAAACTGACAATCACAATGAAATTTAGGCTACTTCAAACAGTGTTTCCTGTATTTTTTGACTTAATGGTCTTATTTCCACACTTGGTATATATTCTTGTTTAATTAATTTCCTGTTTGATTTTAAAACAGATTTGTACTATAGGCTATTTTAAAAGAATTATTTAATTCAAGCTTTTCCCAACATGTGTTTAAGTCACTTCCTTTACAGAAACAATACTTAACGTTTTTTGAAGTTAAAATTTGAATTTGAAATCCAAGATTTGTATTAATTTTAATGTATCAATTCATTTTGCTGTTTTCAATCCATCTGTTACAGAAATCTGTAATTTCTGATTCTGCTTTTATAATTAATGTTTTTCCTAATACAAGTTTAAAGATTAGAAATAGCAAATCCAATAGAAAGAGGAAGTATTTTCTTTGTTTTCAAACTAATATAAATCACATTCTAGTTATCAATATTACATTTAATACTAATTCTGATTTAAGTAAGAGACTTGATTCTCCATAAACTTGAGATCAAGTAAAAATTACTAAAAAGTAACACTCTGATAAAAATATCTATGCCACTTTGTTTAGTGGATATTAAAATCTAACTATGCAGTGTCCTGCTACAACAGTTTTTTATGTTTGTCTTTATTCTGTCACTGGAAATATTTGAGTATCACCTCTGTACCTTTTAATATATTTATTCAAATAAACCTTTTTTATTTTATTTTATTTTATTTTTTCAAAGTTTATTTATTTTTGGGACAGAGAGAGACAGAGCATGAACGGGGGAGGGGCAGAGAGAGAGGGAGACACAGAATCGGAAACAGGCTCCAGGCTCTGAGCCATCAGCCCAGAGCCCGACGTGGGGCTCGAACTCACGGACCGCGAGATCGTGACCTGGCTGAAGTCGGACGCTTAACCGACTGCGCCACCCAGGCGCCCCTCAAATAAACCTTTTTTAAAAAACAAATATATTTAAAAGGAAAGTATCCTATTGTGGTCTATACTTTTTTAATACATGTATTTTAATAGTGAAATAAAAAGTGTTACAGGAAAGGTTACTCAGGAATCACTTAAAGTCATTTATTATATCACTTACCACATTTTGGGAAAGACTGATTTGAGGGAAATAATTTGTGAATTATAAAACTTACCCTTTGATTTGCAGAGTCTTCAGATTATAAGTAGGAAATTTCTAGAACATGACCAAAAATCCTTCTACTTCATTATTTAAAACTTTTTTACATAGTGATC